GGGGAAGTGCGTGGAGTTGCCTTGGTATGAAAAGTATAAGCGAATCTAATCTTCCACAGAAGATCAATGATAAAGAAAAACAATAATCTCAATAGGGAAACGTGACAATACATTGCGAATCCAAAAAGGATAACTCAAATAACCACTTGAACCCAAGCATTAGACATTTGTAACCACGAGGTTATGATGAACGTCATGTTATAAAAATTTTATGAACATTGTAGTTAGATAAGCTCAAAATATTAGCAAGACAACATAAGGAGTTGAAATCAAAGAATAAGCGATCCGTAGCTAAATAGTGCTTAAATCATGCAAATGAAGCAAAATGGTGCGGGAGTGTAAAACGATCGATGAAAATGATGGACTTTCGTATGATCATCCTTTTGCAAATAAAGTGCATAAAGTTAAGCTAAAACAAAAAATAGAGCTATTTATCCAAGTTGCTAGCATCATTTACATAAATATATTACATTGAGTAGGATTTCGAGACTATCAGTAGATCATAAATAAGAGCTTTAGCCACCCTAGGCGAAGGACTGGGTGAATTTCCCAAAAAGGGATGAATATACCTCAGGTTGTCGTTAAATTTCAAATAGTTTGTTTCCAAAATGATATTTGAATTCAACGTGGAATATAGTTTCAAACGCCCGGGTCTAATCAGCACTACCAACAGTAATCGAACCGGGTTGTGTAGCGTATAATTTCGACAGGGTACTGCTACGCCACACCGCCACGAGTGTCACTCGGCCAGAGGAATTCCACGTGAAATTCAGTGTCATCGTGAGGCTTGTGTGAAAATTGAATATCAGCTCAAGCGACCTAGGGTGACTAGAGCTCTTAATCAAGAAATGACTTGACTTAGGAAAAAAAATCAATGTCTACGCTTGTTAACATTAAGTATTATTTTTAAGAAAACAAAATTTTAACTTCATGCAAGCAGACATAAATAGGGTACAATATCGAGGTATCAGTATATAAGTTTGATTCTGTATATATATGGCCAATGGTTGAAACTGCACAAATCGCTAGTTAAAAACCAATATCATCTATAACGAAATAATACAAGCTCATTATTGCTGAGGAAAAGAGGGCAAGCTTAAAATGCTTTCTGTGCTAAAACAAAATAAATGTTGTTGGATGGCCAGCTTAATCAACGAAATAGTTAAAACTTACTAGAGAATAACTTTAAAAAAGATTAAACGTAGCATTGGTGGTATTATTTGAACCATAATTGAGCCTAAATATATTTCAGATGATGAAGTAAGATAAAGATTAGCCAGCGAGAAACCCATAATTGATATGCCGATATTTTATAAGGTAATTGAAAGTTAGAAATGAAAGAATAGACTGTATTCTTCTGAAAAGGTAAGTCTAATCAGGCCACAGAAACCCAAAAGTTGCTGCTAATTTGTAGACAAGTTGATTGAAATTAAGACAATATAGCCATAAAAGTGGCTGGAAAATATGTTTGCAAAAAATAAAAAAAGGTAGATTGAGTCGGACGGAATAAAGATCCCACCGGAAATTGAACAGGCCCGGCACCGTTTCCACCCGGCTGTTGGCCTTGAGGCAAATATTGAGGCGGGGGCGGAGGTGGGCCTTGATTGCTGCCCCCTGGAGGCACTCCGGATCCACCAGGGCCAGCACCACCTGCAGATAGCATGCCTCCGGGGCCATCAGGTTGAGGTCCTGGTGGTCCGTTGCCCTGATACTCTGGAGGCATCATCTGACTACCAGGAGGGGGCTCATTCCCAGG